ATGGACAGCATCAAGAGGGAATTAGATAAGCATATGGAGCAGAGGTCCATCAGTGGCTATTAGTCACAAGGTATAGATAGGAACTCTCGGTCTGGGGCAAGTGATGCACTGTATTCTTGGTGCTTGCGTGGGGGTCATTAGTGGGAGGGCTCCTAGTGTCCTGGCCCCACTGCTGCACCTCCTGATGGCACCTAGTATTTTTGGCCACTGTGTGACAGAGTGTTGGACTGGATGGGCCATTGGCCTGATCCAACATTGGCTTCTCTCATGTTCTTATGTTCATGTGATTTTTGCACTGTTTAATATGTCATGTTAATACTTATGCTTTAGATTTCTGGTTGGTTCCAGGCTTCCACAATCCTAGTCCTATTGCATTGTTTATGCAATAGGATTAGGATTGTGGAAGCCTGAAACCAACCAGAAATATCCCACGTTGATGATTGTATTGACTCACTCTGTAACTTGCCACGAGTCCCTGTGAGGAAGGCAGACTATAAATAATGTAAATTTTAAAGCTAAAATGAATGGAGAGGCAACTCGAGGCAAAGAAGTCCATATGCTTGGACTGGAATGAAGGTTCTCTTCACTACCTCCTGCTGATTGCTTCTGCGTAGAACAGCGAGAAAGTGGCACACACTTGGCACACAGGGGGTCCCAGGTTTGGTCCCTAGCTCCTCCAGTTAAAGAATCTCAAGCAGCAGCTGTTGAGGAAGACCTGCTCTGCCTAAGCTCTTGGAGATATGCTGCCAGGCAAAGTAGATGGACCAATCTGACTTTGTACAAGGAAATCTCACATACTTATGTAAGAGAGCAAAAAAACTGCAAAGAGATATTATGTCACAGGAATCTAAACAGATGTACATGGGATTTGTCCGCATCATGTGCACATAAATGAAATTCTACCGTGTCATACCCTTTTAATAGTATGAGACGTCTCCATTTTGGATGCAGATAATTGGAAACATGCCTGGAACTGGGTTAATCCCAGGCTCACATTGTGTACTGCGTCAGATTTAATCTGCTCTAGCTATCCACCAAAGCTACCAATCTGCTTGGCTTCTAAGTGATTTTATAAATGGAGATTAAAAAATAGATTAACAAGTAATTGGGCTTTAAAACCCTGATGGAAAGAAAGTGTCTGCACTCGTCTTTCTAGCCCTATTCAGAGTATTTAGAGGATTCCATGGAGGCAAGCCCAAGCAGCTTCTCAGAAGTAAGTCTCATGTTATTCAATGGGGCATACTCTCAGGAAAGTGCCCTTACCTCTCTCAGGCATGCTTATAGCGGCAACAATTACCAAAACTACTGGACTTTGGGATTTAAAAAAAAAACAAAAAAAACTACTTAAGTCTGACCTTCTGGGAGTTTCCAGAAAGAGCAAGAGTGACAGAGAAAACCCACAAGCATGAACACAGCTTGTGATTCACAGAAGGAATCAGAGGAGGCCAGCAATATCGGGTATGAGATTACAGGGCTGAACTATGCCGTGCATTTCCCCACCCACTCGTTGCTCTCGGAATAATTTACTTGTGAGCAGCACCAACCCTTGACAACCATTCCTCCCTTCCCTGCCCACACTGGGCCCATGGAAGCTCTTTGAATCCTTGCGAGTGATAACAAATGGGTTTGAGATCTGGCACTTCAGCTCAATGGATTTGCGGATCAGGAACCTTCTGTGGCAGTCAGCTCCATGGAGCCTGCTTCCAAGTAAGCATGCACCGGCTTGGGCGGCTGCTCTGCCTCTCTTGGATTAAGTGCCCACCCTCGAAAAAGAGTAGTGCACTGTGGGTAACAATAGGGCAGCACAGAACTGGGAATGGAATCTGGAAGAGCAACCCTAGATGGAGTTGCCCTTGTTCTGACGGAAGAGTTGCACTTATTCTGACGGACACAGTTTCCTGCACCAACGTCAGTGGCTGGGAGGTGGAAAGTGCCGTCGAGTTGCAGCCGATTTATGGCGAATCCAGAGGGTTTTCAAGGCAAGAGATGTTCAGAGGTGGTTTGCCATTGCCTGCCTCTGTGTCATGACCCTGGACTTCCCTAGAGGTCTCTTGTCCAAATGCTAACCAGGGCTGACCCTGCTTAGCTTCTGAGATCTGACAGGATCGGGCTAGCCTGAGCCATCCAGGATAACACTCAGTGAGTTTAGAAGGGTGTAAACCTGCATAGGATTGCACTGTGATTGTCTCACTTTTTTAAAAAGCCAGTTTCTAGCTCTCGTAGCTCCTGAAGGATTAAAAGCATATGTGCTAAAAATCTAATGAGGACAAGTGCTACGTGAGCCAGGGGAAGAGTGCTTTTTGTGTACATCATTGTCTGCCTCTCCCCTAGCTCTTGCTTGCTAAACACTCCCAGATTACATCTATCTTCCTCCCCATGGAGGAACACACATCTTCATAATCTGAATCAAGCACTTGGATTCCAGTGGGGGTGGGTAGGAACCAGATTTTTTGGCACGCAGAATGACCAGTTTGGTTTAAATATACCTTAAATATTATCCTGGGCTAAAATTAAATGTCCTGGATTTCAGCAACTTTTCACTCTCGTACCATCTGTACTTTCCTTGTTTTACAGATCCATGAAACCGCCACACCTTCCTGTTAGTTTCGCACTGTGCCCTGCAGTGTAAAGAATTCCTCTTTGCAAAGAGCAAACTGAATCCACACCCCATGCACTTTTACGCTGTTTATTATGTAACTATATTGAGAGCAAAGTGTATTTGCACACGCCATCAAGACAACTGCTGTTTAAAGCACATTGCAATTAGTATGCAGTACAGAGAGGAAGAAAATCAAGCTGGGCTAGGGCATGGTCCAGGGCACAGTTTGAGAGCCAGTGCAGTGGATTGATTAGAGTGTCGGACTAGGATCTGAAGATCCAGGTTCAAATCCCCACTCTGCCACAGAAGCTCAACGAGTGACCTAGTGCCATTCACTTTGGGTCCCCAGTAAGGTATAAATAAAGCAAATAAATAAATACGTTTGGAAGCACATGATGCAACCATCGTACAGGTCAAGTGCTGGATTTCCTGGGAACCCCAGTGTGTAGTGCATCACAGAAGGCAGGATATAAATGTAATAAATAAATATGCTGCTGTGTGAAATTTTAGAACAGGGTCATGGCGGTGAAGCCTACTCTATGGCCTTATTGATACCATAATATATTTTCCTGTGTATGAAAGCTGTCCCACCTTCTTTAAGGACACATTTGCCTGGATAGATGCAGTGCATTAAGTTATCACGGAGAAAGACAGTCTTCCAGTGATAAGGAAGAAGCACCACCTTGATCAGATGAATTGCTTTTAGCCAAACCCATGATTTCCCAATTGACACGTGACTCGTACTTGCATCATCATGTGCCCGAGTATGAATTTCAGCTCATGTGTACAGAAAAATATTGCATCAATCAGACCTGTACTAACTAGGGAAGATGAACTTCCGGCATCATGGAAATCAGCCCAGATAAGTTCCAGGTAGTGCCCCTGGAGGCAATATTTCATTTAGAAGATCTTCACTCTCATGTTTCATTGACATGGAAAATTGTGAAGGTTTATACAACAAGGAATGTAGCTCTGTGTAACTGATAACTATCTCTTTTAAAAAACCAATAATAAAGTTTGACATTTAAATTTTCCCCAGATGCCAGCAGCTGCAGCAGTTAAAAGCAAACCGGCTAAAACAAATTATTTTTATTCATGCTTATTGAGTTCACTGAGATCAGCTAGATCCGTTCCTATAGCAAACATAAGGAGCATGTCTGCCTCCCCAACTCTGAAGCAGCCATGTGAGATCTCTGTAGGGGTGAGCAGCTGGGCCAGTGATATTTTTATGGTTTTACATAGGGATAAACTGAATTGGCTCGATTCAAAGAACTTTAGTTTCACCGTCTTGTGCACTGCAGCCAGCCCCGTGGCTAAGGACTTTTTAGGAAGGGGGGCTGGAGGGGCCCACCTGCTAATCCAATCAAAGGCTCCAGGGCAAGGGCTGAGACAGCCGCAGCTTCCCTCCCTCTCCCCCCTCCCCTCCCACAAGGGCAGGCCTTCCCTGTGGAGCATCTGGGTCCAGCCACTGGTCCAGCTCCCTCCCTCCCCAAGGAGCCCCAGTGCCTCTTCCACTCTTGCACAGCACCAGGGACAGCCTCTGAAATCACTGCCCTTGTCCTCCCTTGCCAACAGGCTGACAGGCAATCAAGGGGAGTTGGGGTAGGGGAGCCGAGGCTCAGGAAGGGGGCCCATAAAAACTGCTAGGGGGCCTCGCCCCATGGGCCCCGCGTTAGCTAACAGCCTGACTGCAGCCTGAACTCCAGAAGGATAACCTTCAAACCAGAATTGCAATTCTCGGAACATCCAGATACTGACACACGACAGATCATGTACACTGCAGGTAATTCTGAGTTTAGTACACTGAGGAACGCATTCCTTGGCCTCATACTTCCCTTCTGTTGTTTGTTTCCCTTAAAAGAAAGGCAGAAATCCCACTGAAGACGTCTGGGGGGGGGGGGGACACGCTTCGCAATAACCCAGTGCCCCGTTAATATGACATGGTTAATTGCAAATTCTTCGGAGTTTTGATCGCTACGCTGGAAACGACGTGAATGGGCTGGTGGTGCGAGACAGATCATTTGGGGGATGCATCCTCACTGCATCTGATGAAGTGGCCTGACTCACGACGGCTGATACGGGAACAGATTTTGTAAGTCTTTAAGGGGCCACCGGGCTTCTGTTTATTCAGCTCATTGGGGGTGGGGGAGGGTTGAGACACAACTGAAGGTCAGGGACTGTCCCTTGCGGTGCTCAAGAGCACAAGAGAACAGAAGCATCAGACTCATGCAGCGCTCGGGGACCACCAGACCCATCCAGGACCATACCCTCCCTCCCTTCCTTCCTTCCTTCCTTCCTTCCTTCCTTCCTTCCTGTTTCTCACAGCCACCGGCCCGGCCTTTCTACAACATACACACTCCTTGTTCCAAGACCGTGACAGCGAGAGAAGGAGGCTACTCACCGCTCAGATAGTTGGTCCATTTGTATAGTACCCCATCCATGGTGACAAAGGCCCCCCATCCAGATCTGCTTAGGACAGGGGAAATATCTTCCCCAGGAACCGTCTATGCCCTCTGCCGCCCCTTTAGCCCCACAGCTGAGCCGCTGACACTTGGGGCCATCCTGGGGCTGGGAGAAGACCGGCCCGCCTCCCTGTCTTCTTCTCCCACCCTCCCCTTCCCTCCCCAGACCCTACCAACCAACCAACCAACCAACCAACCAACCACAGAGTACTACGCTTCTAGCGTAGAAACCCAGGACACAGCGTAGCCACAGAGGCTGATAACGCACGGGAGTAGAGTAAACGCGTTCTGGAATGCGGACCCACGTGACTAGGAGCGAGCGAGGGGGCGTTGTTAAAAGGCTCGAAAACAGATGGACTCTCGGGAGCCAATGAGAGCGCCGTTTTCTCAACAGGGCCAGCCAATGATTGCAAGACAGGAGCCGGTTGTATTGTGTTGAGAGTCTCCAAGCCTGTGTGCCACGTTCCTTCCTGGAATGTTGGGGACGGCCAGTCCTCGCTCGCCGATGCTTCTGACGCGTTTGCAAGATGGATGGGACTCTTTGCCAACCAGCGGCGGCATTTTTAGTTCGGCCCTACGCGTTGAGCCAACCAGAAGGAGGACAGAGTGGGTAGTACAAGGCTGCCAGTGGATGCGTGGCTTACTTCTTAAAGAAAGAAATACTGCGAGTTGGGGGGAGTTTGCCACGTCTGCGGATTTGAGGCGTGTGAAGCGCGGTGGGACTGGCAGCAAAGTAATGAATGACCCCTTCATCGCCCGGCTCTCCAGATCGTCCCCTTTCACGGAGCGAATGCTGAGAAAGTTCTAAGTCTGAATGCTGGGCAGAGAGAGTGTGAAATGGCAATTGCACCGCGTAGCCAACGAAAAAACCCAGAGCCCTGACAACGGCAGGGGGGGCATTCCAATCTAGGGGACCCTAGAGCTGTTTCAGGCGGGCTTGAAATCCACAGCTTTTAGACAAATTACTGAGAGTGAAAATAGTTTGATCAAACTCTTGATGGTACGAGAATCACACGTTCTCAAAGCTCGGAGGCAATTGTGGAAGCCCCCAGAATGGAAGCTGCTCTTTGGACTCCTTTCCTTCGTCTTCGTGGCTTTCGGAACTGGGGCGCTCATTCCGGAACCAGAAGTGAAGATCGAGACGCTCCATAAGCCATTCATTTGCAAGAGGAAGACCCAGCGGGGGGACATGATGCTGGTCCACTATGAAGGGTATTTCGAGAAAGATGGTTCCCTGTTCCACTCCACGTGAGTATGGGGTGTGGGGAAGAATGCACAGGGATCTGCCTCGGCTTTGAGAAACTGAAATGTAAGTGGAATCCCACTGGCAGGTTATATTGGGCTTGATCTTGTAGAACCAGTTTGGCAGGGACGGACTAAAACTAAGGACAGCGATTGCCCATAGGGAATACATGAGGGCCCATAGAGAATAATGGACAGGTCGCTTGCCCATAGGGGATGATGGAGTACATAATTGCCAATAGAGAATCCATAATGCCAAAAGAGAATCCATGACTGCCCATAAGGAAAAATGGAGAGGACACTTGCCCACCTCTATTCCACCTCTTGCGTGTGATGACATCACAAGCGAGAGGTCATTCCGGCTCACCCAGCTCTCGTTAGGGGCCCTTTAAAAAGTTGATGGACTCTCGCGAGAGGTGGAATTTTCCCCCCCCCCCCCCCCCGCTGTTGCAGCTGCCGCCGCCAATGACAGCGGCCATAACTTTTTAAAGAGCCCCTAACGAGAGCTGTTGGAGCCAGAATGACCTTTCGTGACTCTGGTAACAATGCTGACTGTATAGCAGTTTTCACTGTTAAAGCGGATCATTCCGGCAGAGATGTGAAATATTTGGAAATTTTAAAGCTATGGGGAAAAAATGTTGGTTTTTTTCCCCAGGGAAAAAAATAGAAATTTGGAGGAAGATTGATGTATATGCAATACATACTTTCCTGTCAAACCTATGTCTAGTTTGTAGCTTTAACTTCATAAAATACATCATTCATAACTTAGCATATAAAATTGTATTAATCAGCTTGTTTATTAAACGTAACAGTATAAATGCCTTAGCTTTCTACTAGCAACATTGCAAGTATACCCAATACGAAAGTGAAAGTTACAAACCGCTTTACCATATTTCACCAGAAATTTTTCAGCACTCTCCAGTTTCCCAATAGAAAAATCATAGAAAAGTCATCAGACCTTTTCACACTATACTTGTGTGTGTGTGAATAAAACCTTCTCTTTAAAAGCATTTCATTCATTAAAAAAAAAATATCATGAACTTTGTTTCCCTCCAGTAATTCTCAAAATTTTGTATTGTCTCCATTGGAAAAAACCAAGGAAAAAGATCTACGGGAAGTGATGGGAAAACAGATGTTCTTTTTTTTGGTCCTCCAGGGCCTTGACGTCTTTTATTTTCCCATCAAGTCACAGCTGACTTATGGTGACCCTGTAGGGTTTTCAAGGCAAGAGACATTCAGAGGTGCTTTGCCATTGCCTGCCTCTGCATCGTGACCCTGGACTTCCTTGGAGGTCTCTTATACTCTCTAATTATTTGTTTGCTGTCCCATGAGAGTTAGTGTGCTGTAGTGATTAGAGGAGTGGTGCCCGGGAGGCCACCTGCCAAGTGTTCTAAGAAGATGGGTCAGGTTGGATTGGACTTTTGCCCAGCAGGGCTTCTGATTGGCCATTTGAGATCCAATTGGTTGTGCAGATTTTTTAAAAGCATTGCTTTCACAGCAGCTACCACCACAGCACAAGGATCTTCACTGCATGACCAAAGGCGGCCTCCTGTAGCCGTCATTTGGTGGTTGCACCAGGCATCCTGTGTCACAATTCCAAAGGTTCCAGCAGGGTCAAAAATGTTGGGGAATCCCAGATCCTATCATTACATCAACCACCCTGTAAGGTAGATTATGCTGAAAGAGAGTGATTGGCCCAAAGTCGACCAGCAAGCGTCCATGGCAGAGTGGAGATTCAAACCTGGGTCTCCCAGATCCTAGTAAAACATGCTGACCAGAGTTGCTCGGATAAAATGAAGAGAGAACACTGTGTGTGTTCTTGAATGCCTTGAAGAAAGGGCAGGATAAAAAAGCATTAGATAAAACAAGATCATTACATCAACCACCCTGTAAGGTAGATTATGCTGAAAGAGAGTGATTGGCCCAAAGTCGACCAGCAAGCGTCCATGGCAGAGTGGAGATTCAAACCTGGGTCTCCCAGATCCTAGTAAAACACGCTGACCAGAGTTGCTAGGGTAAAATGAAGAGAGAACACTGTGTGTGTTGTCCTTGAATGCCTTGAGGAAAGGACAGGATAAAAAAGCATTAGATAAAACAAGCAGGGGCCTGCGGTACTCGCGGGGGGGAGCTCCATGTAGAGGAGGAAGCCACTGCAGGTGAGCCTGCTCCCCTTCTCCCCCACCCCTGCCTGGCCCTGATGGCAAGGCCCGTGCGGCTCCCAGTCGCCGGGGTGGGCAAAACTAGCCCTGATGGGGAGGCCTGCGTGGCTCACAGCCACCGGGCCCGCCAAACCTTCTCCCACACGGCAGCGACAGCGAGGCCCGGCCCACCAAGCTTTCTCCCTCCCCCTCAGCACTGGTGGTGGTGGGACAGTTCCCAGGGCATTCTCTGCTCATGCGCAGGGAATGCTATTACTTTTGGGGGGATTTAAGTATCTCCTGCACATGAAACCCTTTTTCTGCTTGTGGTGTTCACAAAATGGCATGCATTTGGCAGTTGCTCAATAGTGTACTGTGATCAGCTTCTCCACTGTCTCTTATTATTAGTTGTTACATTTTTATCCTCCTCCTCACAAAGGCTCCCGATGATATTTGATAAATCACAAGCTAAGAAGACCAGTCCTTTTGTGCATAGGCAGCTGTTTGACATACGGGATGCAGGGGGCGAATAGATCTCGGAGTGTTCTGAACTGACCAGAGTTCAAACCTCTGCTCGGGCCACGACACACACTGGGAGAACTTGGGCAAGGAGGGGAAAAAGTTACGTACGTGGCCCTGAGTTAGAAGGAAGGGCAGGATAAAAATGTACTAGATGGATATTGTATGTCCCTTAAGCCCTCATCGTTTTTTAAAAAATACAAGGCTTTCTTGAACTTAATTTCTAGGGATCATGCCCTTTCATCTCAACATGATGAACAAGTGGGGCTTCCATGGCCAGAGCCAGCCCAGTGAATGGCCATGATGTAGGACTTTTGGTGGCATTTAGTTAGCCCTTGTGTGAAACAGGGTGCTGGGCTAGGTGGACCAGTTAATTCTTTCTGTTACCGTTTTAGTAGCCCTTCGGGCTACTAGATGCTGGATCCAAATGAATGGGATGGCTGATTCCATCATGCATAACTCGCAAATTTCTCAGAGGTGAAAGAATGCTGAAATGGGTTGGTCTGTTCCAGCAAGGCAATTCTGATGCTCTGTGAGTTTTCTCTACAATGGCCCCGGCCAGACGTGCTGGAAAACACGGGGGGGGGGGGCTATTTGCGCCATCGCATTCTGATGCGCTATAAAGCGATCAGACGCGATGGCAGCTTCCCCGCAGCAAAGAGGACAACGGGGGAGGAAGCCGCACGGCGGTGCGATCACACCGGGAGGCTTCCATAGGCGGCCCATGGCAAAGCGTTTGCTAGTACATGTGGTGAGCTAGTTTTTTACTGCGCAGCTTCAGCGGCTTGCCACGGGTTTGCCATGGGAGTGCTACGCCTCCCAGATGTTCCCATGTAATCATGCCCGGATACTCCGTGGGACTCCCGTGCCTTCAGCGGGGCAAATGCTCTGTGTGACCGGGGCCAATGTGAACTTTCCCAATACATATTTTAATTAATCCTTTCTCTATTTGTGCTTCTTTTCAGCCACAAGCATAACGACGGCCAGCCTACCTGGTTTACTCTTGGTATAAATGAAGTTATCAAAGGCTGGGATAAAGGTTTGGTGGGCATGTGTGTCGGGGAGAAACGCAGGCTCACCGTTCCTCCTTCCCTGGGTTATGGAAAAGAAGGGAAAGGTAATGGCTCTTTTCAAATTCAGAGTGGCTTTAATATTGTGATCATGTAATAAAAACATTCAGTGCATCTTGATCATAGGCCGCGTTCAGACTGGCAGTTTGGCCTGGCAGCCAAATGTTTTAGGAGCGTTTCAGTAGCGGATTAAAGGGGCGGGTTCACACAGGCACATGTTTCAGGCGTCCCCCAGCCATACTCAAGCCATCTTGTGCCGCTTCCCTCCCGAGTTTAAAAGATACCAGGTGAAAGGGGTAGCAAACCGTGCGTAGAGCGGGTTGATTCTGGTTCCCTGAGTGTGAACGCAAGCGCTGCTAAGGCGGGAACAACCTGCAGTCATTGATAATAGGCACCAGCTGTTTCCGCGGGCAGGGTCCATTGGCACCTGCGCGATCCTGTTCTATTTGCCCATGTGCATGGGTGCATGCAGCCCAGCGCGGAAACAGCTGCTAATAGCCCGCCAGGGCGGCTCAACAGTGTGAACGCTCCCTTGCTCTTCCTCTATGGTATCCTCCCGCTTCATTCGCTGTGGTGTGAACGGGAATACTGCAACCAAGCTGTTCCAGGTCTGTTCCAGGTTTTCTTTGCCACAACTCCATAGCGCTTCAAATTGCCAGTCTGAACTCGGCAATAGTATGAACATAAGAGACTGACCCTCCAACATCTCAGGCAAAGAGCATCTCTGACATTTGCTGCCTGAAATCATAAGAACATAAGTACAGCCTGCTGGCTCAGACCAGTGGTCCACCTAGTCCAGCATCGTGTTATACACAGCAGCCAACCAGTTGCTTTGGAGAGCCAATAAATAGGGCATAGAGGCCCTGCTGCCACCTCCCAGCACGGGCATTCAGAGATTTGCTGCCTCTGTATATGGAGGCTTCCTTCAGTCACCATGGCTAGTAGCCACTGATGGACTTTTCTCTTCCATGAATCTGTCTTAGCTGCCTTTGTAAAGCAGTAGTTGAATTATAGTTCATTTTTAAGAACCTAAGAAGAGCCCCACCAGATCAGAGGTCCATCTAGTCCAATATCCTGTTTCATACAGTGGTCAACCAGTTGTCCTAGAGGGCCAGCAAATAGGGCACAGAGAGTAAAAGGCCTTTTCTGGTGTTCCACTTTAGCACTGGGTTCCAGAGTTTTACTGCCTCTGAATGTGGAGTTTCCCTCTATTCTCCAGGGCTAGTAGCCATTGATGGACTTTCTTCTCCATGGGTCTGTCTAACCTCCTTTTAAAAACTATTTATGTTTGTGGCCACCACTACCTCCTCTGGCAGTGAATCCCTCAGTTTAATTATTTTTTGAGTAAATAAGTATTTCCTTTTCTCTGTCCTGAACCTATTTCTCAACAATTTCATTGGGTGCCTATAAATTATAGTATTATGGGAGAAGGAGGGGAATCCCTCTGTCCCCTTTCTCCAACTCATGCATAATTTTATAAATATCTTTCCTTGGAGATGACAGAGACTGAATCCGGGGCGTTCTGTGTGTGCAAAGCATGTTTTCTACCACTGAGCTTTCTTTTATCAACAATATTCACATACATAGAGCTAAACTGGTATGCTGTTGATAATTTGGTCATTTTCATTAATGTCAACTGGACTAAGAAGACTTTGGGTGGAAAAGATCCATACTACAGCATGAGAGAACAGCAGGTCCTTTATATATTTGGAAAAGGTCCATGCAAAAGGGGTTCCCCTGTACTATATTGGAATCAGATTCATGCAGGAGGCAGGATGTGGTATGCTTTACTTAGTAGATTCAAAGTAATTCAGTAAAGTGGAAAGTGTGTTTCCACTTGTTTCAGTTTGATACTTCATCAGTTAGAGATAGTAAAACCTTAAACTCGAGCCAGAAAAACCCAAAACTGTCTTTTTACCATGCCTCAGTACACAAACAATTGAATCTATTTCTCCCTTCTTTAATAAGACCAAGTTAGTCAGTATTTCCACTGTGAATTTCTGAGGCCTGGTCTCTACATGTAGGAGAATAAGGTGGGGATAAGGTGTCAGAATGCTGAAGTGATAGAATGGATGGGACCATTTTCAGATTGCAGTAGAAGCTCATAGATACTCCACTATGTAAAAAACTCAGTGCAAAATAGTAAACCAGTGCAGAAAGAAGAAGGGGTAATGAGGGAGCTACAGACTTTCTCTCTGGTTGGTTAGTTTTTAGTTTTCATTGATTTTTTTTAATGTGAAGGAATATTTCTTGCAGTCTAAAGTGGTGCATTCTGTTTTACCATATTCTTTGGAATGGGTATGCCATGCTTCAGTCTGCAGTTAAGAAAACAAGTGTAACTAGTTATGTAATCAGGATAATGCTGTAAGGAAAGAGTTTGTAAGTTTAATACCTTGGATCTTGCTGGAAGTTTTTCTGTCAGAGTGAGACTTCCTTCCCTGCCCTTCCCCCACCCCAGCTGCAGCCCAAAATGTTCCCTGGTGAAGGCTTCCTGGATTGGGCACTGGTAACTAGTAGTGGAAACCATGTATTTTCTTAGCCGGTTTGGTGTACTGGTTAGGAGTGTGGTCTCTAATCTGGAAGAACTGGGTTTGATTCCCCACTTCTCCACATGCAGCTGCTGGGTGACCCTGGGCAAGTCACAGTTTTCTCAGAGCTGTTCTCTCAAGAGCAGTTCCCTCAGAGCTCTCTCAGCCTCACCTACCTCACAGGGTGTCTGTTGTGGGGAGAGGAAGGGAAGGAGATTGTAAACCACTCTGAGTGAAGAGTGGGGTATAAATCCAATCTCTTCTCTCTCTCCCGCCCCACCCCCACCCCGTTTTTGCTTGTGAGAATCCAGCTAAGGTCATCTGTGAAGATAAAAATATCATAACTAAACACTGGGTTAATACTTGTGTTTGTCAGGAAAAATTCCACCTGAGACTACACTGATCTTCAATATTGACCTTGTAGAAATTCGAAATGGGCCAAGGTCTCATGAGTCCTTTCAAGAAATGGATCTTAATGATGACTGGAAGCTATCCAAAGAGGAGGTGAGGAGGCTGATGTATTCTACATTTGTTCATGAATGCTTTTTAATGGGAAAAGAAAGCTGGTTTTTACTTCTCTTGAAGCTTTATTGCTCAACTCTGGTACTTGTGAATAAAAACCTCCATGTGTTCAGCTAGATCACAATCCCCTTGTTGCGTTGTCAGAGCTGCAGGGCTGAGATGATGCTCAGGAAGATAAAGCCTGCATGGCCTTGAGCTGGGGAGAGTAAGGGCAGCAGAAGCTAGAATATGCTCTGTCCTTCCAAAAAAATTTCTTGGGGTATTTGCATCTCCAACCTCCATGTTCTCAGCAAACAGAAGCACAGCATTCCTGAGATGCTGCAAAGAACACTTCAGAAAAGTTTACAAAGTTGGGCCTGTTGTGGGAAATATTTTTCACATTATTTTCCTACAGATTGCTGTTTTCCATTGCTTTGCCCCTGAATTTGGAATTAAAGTTGTAATTGGGGATTCCACCTGGGACTTGCTTCAGAATGTACCTGTTTTGTTTTTAATCCATCTAGAGGGTAAACGGCTGGTACAGACAGATCCTGAGTTCTTTGGTTACGATGTTTGAGCTTTTTTATGAGTCAAAAGTTGTGCAGCCATTTTGTGTGTGTGTGTGTGTGTGTGTGTGTGTTGTGTGTGTAAGTGCCATCAAGCAGCTTCTGACTTATGGCGACCCTGTGAATTAATGTCCTCCCAGATATCCTACCATCAACAGCCTTGCTCAGGTCTTGCAGACGGAGGGCCATGACTTCCTTCATAGAGTCAATCGATCTCATGTTTTCCTGCTGCCTTCAGCTTCTTCTAGCGTTATTGACTTTTTCCAGTGACTCTTGTCTCCTAATAACCTATAGGTAAAGGTTTCCCTTGCTCGAAAGCCAGTCGAATCCGACTCTAGGGATGCGATGCTCATCTCCGTTTCCAAGCTGAAGAGCCAGCGCTGTCCAAAGGTGTTTCCATGGTCATGTGGCCGGCATGACTAGATGCTGAGGCGCATGGAATGCTGTTACCTTCCTACCAAAGTGGTACCTGTTTATCTACTTGCAATTTCTTGCTTTCGAACTGCTAGGTTGGCAGAAGCTGGAACCAGAGACAGGAGCTCACTCCGTCATGCGGCACTCAGGTCTCGAACTGCTGAACTACTGACCTTCCAGTCTGCAGTTCAGCGTCTTAACCACTTAACCACTAGAACAAAACCCATGTAATACCCTTTATTAGGATCAACCAAATGCATGCAAAATAGTGTAAAACCTCTTTAGCTACCCAGAACTTTAAATTGGGCTGGATGTTACAAAATTTAAAAGGTATAGGGTGGGAGGCAGATTGTTCAGGGCATAATGTGTTTGGGTCTGATCTTGCATGTGTCTTCTGAAATGCAAGTGGGCAATGAACTTCATTGCTGAGGTGCTGTGTTTCAGCATGTTCTGTGGGACGCTGCCAATGTTCTTCATTCGTTGTTCATACAGAAACCACCCTAGCACATGCAAAAATAATCTCAAAGGGATATATCATGCTGTTTCTTGTTTGTTGCTTCTTCCAAAAAGCATCTTAAGGACTGAAAGTATTGTGTTCCAATCTGTCCCACAGGTAAAAATGTACTTGAAGAAGGAATTTGAAAGACATGGTGCAGTGGTCAATGACAGCCATCACGATACTTTGGTTGAAGACATATTTTCTAAAGAAGATGAGGACACAGATGGATTTATATCTGCAAGAGAATTTGTGTATACGCATGATGAGCTATAAAGTCTTTTGGAAGGACTTGCTAGTGAGAGGGAAATCAAGAGACTTTGCACAACTGACACTTCTTGAAATGTTTTTATATGTACAGAGGCCTGTTAACTCACAAGGGGGGAAGTGCATTACATTATTTTTTTACCGGACATGTGCTTGTTGAAACTATATTTTGTAACTGACATCTTTTTATAGAGTGAAAATAACTTTAAAACATTTCTTAAGGGGAGTTCATATTTATTTTGAAAACCATGGAACAAAGACCTTTCTACTAACAAATGGTGCTTAAACACACTTCAGCCTTTTCTGCTTTCAGTTTGTCAACTATTTTTTTAAAATTCCAGCCTAAAATAAAGTATGATTAGTATAAAATATTTGGTTCACTTATGTGTTTTATTAATATGCATTTAGTTTCAAAAATAGCACTGGCTGCTGTTGGGTCACACAGCAGATTTATTTCCCATTACTTTTAAAGGGTGTGTTTTAAGCTGACTTGCAGGCTGACTGGAAGATTTCTTGCAGTAGCAGAGTGTGCTCAGGGTAGTGTAGCTGCAGCACTATACTACCTTTCTTGTAAAGTGACAGCTTATATTCTAATAGCCACCTGTGGCCACCATCTTGTGGATATCTAAATCTGCAGATTGAGGCCACGTGGAGGCTAAAGAGATTTTTCTGCACACTTGGGGCTCACCCCAGGTTTGCAGAAAAATCTGAAAATAAATAACACGGGGGTGGTGGTTAAATCCTGGCAGCCAATGGCAGTGATGCTGGGGAGTCATGCTGGGTTCAGTGGTGGTGCAGCGAAGAAGACGCACCGGGCCTAGCATGTCAGCAGCAGAGCCTGGGAGCCCACTGAACCTGCTGAGAAGGAACAGCTTCAGCCCAACGGCAGAGGTTGGAAGCCATGGCCAAGGAGGCTGGCAGCTGTGCTGAGCCCAGCCACAGTGCTGGAAGAGGCCAGCAGCCACATTGGTCCCAGCGGCAGGGGCAGAGGAGGCTGGTAGCTCTGCTGAGCCCAGCAGTGGTGAACACTGGGAGCTACTCTGGGCCCAATTGCCACGGCGGCACACATCAGAAGCCACTCTAGGCCATGCCCATACTTAAGTTTGCAGGAAATGTGACATTTTTAAAAAACGCGTAGGCAGGTTTAAATCCCCCCCCCCCAATAGAGTTGCACTGTCTGTGCCAGATGAGCAGAGAAGGGCACCAGTTGTGGCCAACAGCCACTGTAGAGATAGATGCTGGCTGCCGGTCTGGGTGCAGCAGCAGTCGCTGGCAGATGCAAGGCTCAGCAATGTGGGGGATATGGGATTTCTCCCCCCCCAAAGAGTGCTGCAGGCCCCTCACTTGCAGCTGCCTTGGTTGCAAGGCCAGGCAGTGTGCTTGCATTGGTAGTGATGGAGGTGGGGGCAGATCTGGCAGCAAGGCCAGTAGACGCGTCTGGACTGGCTGCATTGATGGTGATGGGGGGAGGAGCTGGGCAGTGTCGCCATATGTGGTGCTGACACTGCTGTTGTGTGTGGGAAGGGTGGGGCCCACAGTGAGCCTGGCAGAGTTGCTGTTGGGGGGCAGGAGCTGCAGCGGTCCCAGCAGCATCGCCATTGGTGAGAGGAAGCAAGTTAAGTGGTGGGAGAGATCCCCTTGAAAGTACTGTGGGTTCGTATATAAATATGTATCAAAGGAGTCAGAGCAACAAGATGGTATATTATCAATCTTGTCCAGCTTTTGAGATAGTATACAAGAACATATGAGCAAAGAACATACCTACGGGACCGCCTTTCCCTGGATATACCTTAGAGAACACTACGGTCTGGGTCTCAAAACTGGCTGACCCTCCCTGGCCTGAGGGAGGCCAGGCTAGCTGCTACTAGGGCCGGGGCCTTCTCGGTGGCAGCCCCTACCTGGTGGAAGGAGCTCCCAGAGGAGATCAGGGCCCTGCGGGACCTTTCTCAGTTCCGCAGGGCCTGCAAGACGGAGCTCTTCCGCCAGGCATTTAATTAGGGGCCGCCACCACTGTAGCGCCCGGCCCATAATTTTACCATTAAGCAGCTGCCAGGAGACCCGTTGAGCAGTAGAACATCTAGCACTTACCATCGAGCAGCTGCCATAAGAGCCGACAAGCAGAAGAACATCTAGTACTGTTGGAAATCCACTTGAAAGCATTCCATCTAATTTAATTTTTAATCGCTGCCAGCACTTCGTATTGTATTATTTTTAACTGTTGTGTTTTAATTATGTATGTTTTATTCTGTATTTATGTGACTTGGAAGCCGCCCTGAGCCTGCTCTGCGGGGAGGGCGGGGTACAAATCTGACAATAAATAAATAAATAAGATGCTGTTGGCATGTGGATTTCCTAAGGTTCCAGTTACAGAAACATACACTGTAGTTGCATTTCATCCTTTTAGATAAGCCTATTCAGTTCTATCCTGTCTTTCCTCCGTAGTGCTCACTGAGGCATACAGAAGGTTTCAGGAGATCTTCCCTCTAGACATGGGCTTTACTTGCTTAGTTCCAGCAAGGTTTCTGCAACATGTGGTTTCAGGCCATCCTTGCGACTGTAATGATTAAAAGGTAAAGGTTCCCTTGCTCGAAAGCCAGTCAAATCTGACTCTAGGGTTGCGGTGCTCATCTCCATTTCAAAGCCGAAGAGCCAGCGCTGTCCGAAGACGTTTCCGTGGTCATGTGGCCGGCATGACTAAACACCAAGGTGCATGGAACGCTGTTGCCTTCCCACTGAAGTGGTACCTATTTATCTACTTGCAATTTCTTGCTTTCGAACGGCTAGGTTGGCAGGAGATGGGAGCTCACTCCGTCATGCGGCACCTGGGTCTTGAACTGCTGAACTACTGACCTTCCACAGCCTGCAGTTCAGCGTCTTAACCACTTGAGCCACCGCAGCTGTAATGATTCTGTTTAAGCTTTGTGTATGAGAATGCCTTTACAGTAGCCGGTGCTTCAACCAGGTTTTAATTTCTGTTACAAACCAGCAGCAGCTAGACTTTGCTTCTCTGAAGCCAATATAATGGGGTGTGTGTGTCAGAATGGTGGGAGAGTGTATGAATGTGTCACACAAAACTCATCACTGTGAAACTGACACATTTATAAAAGAGTTCCTCTCAGGACTACCCCATTTGTGCACCTCTCTCATCTGTACTATCCTGTGCCCCAACACTGAGCTTTGTAGCAAAGGTGGTCTAGTTTCCCTATGGTGTTTCTAGCAGGCCCATTAGCCATGTATCATGGCAATAGCACCCTTTCCCTTTAGTGACTGCTGTTCAGGGGCTTTTGAACTTTTCGGCTCAATTGTTGACAGACTGGCATAAATTTGCTTCATATGCTTTTTGAATCATCAGCACATCTTGGGGTTGGCACATTCCAGAAACAGAGTAGGTGGAGCACAATAAAATATCTTCTAAGTTTGCAGGAAGCTGCAGGCTTGCAAAGCAAAAGCCAAAAGCCATGCGCCACCTTCAATAAGGGCCGGCCAAAATGACACCAAACAGTGTACAAACTTCTTGCCTTCACCATTGCACTGCTGCTTCATTAGACTGAATAGAATTTTTTCCCCCTTTTATCTTCAAGTTATGTTAAAAGTAGATAAAATCATGATAATGTGGATTTTTTGGCAAGGTGTTTTTTTCCATTAAATTCTGAACTACGGGATACCAAATTTCCACCATTTTCATGTAGGCAATGTCTAAAATGTAAGGGTTAGAGTACACTGAAATCTTACTTAGAATGACATATTCCCATAATTTCTCTCTCCATGCTGACAAGGGAATATGTGGGCTTTTCCATTTTGACTCTAATATGTTCTTGCAGGTGTCAATAACAATGAAATAAGCTGTTTCTCCCTTTTATTCGAGGAAGGATCTGTCCAGAATAGAATTTTTTTTTAATGCCTTAGACTGTGGTCTTCAGGCTTCTTCATTCCAAGTGTGGGCTTCCTTGGGAATAAAAGCCCCTTAGCTCAATAGGATTTACTTCTGAGTACACATGCTCAGGATCACTTTGGAGAAGACACAATCAGAGAGGGAGAAGAGACTTGACCAGTCAGTAGTGAGAGAAAGTTTTTGTGTCCATGGGCACTCAGTAGGGTTGCCATGATATCCCCGCCCCCGCCACCAGTGGGGAAGGAGGGAGTAGGGTTGCCAGATCCAGGCTGGGAAACTCCCGGAGATTTGGGGGTGGAGCCTGGAGAGGACAATACCATCGAGTCCACCATTGTCTCCAGAGGAGCTGACCTGTGAGATGCGCTGTAATCCCAGGGGATCCCCAGGACTCACCTGGAGGCTGGCACGTCCCTGAGGGGCAGGGCCATTGCGGACTCCGCTCTCCCGGGCTCCGATGGCCAAAGGGGTCCCACACCCTTTCCTCCTATCCCCCCGCCCCGCCCCAGCCCTTCCCCGGCGCCTGTTCCTGCGGCAGTCCCGCTAGGCTGAGCCCTACGGAAGGGGAGGAAGCGTCAGCAGCGGCAACAACGACGCCGCACCGTTAGGAGGCAGAGCAACCTCGCCGGGCCGGCTGCCGCGCCCTCCCCCTCGCCTCCCTCCCCGGCCCTCCTCCTCCTGCTGCTGCTGCTCACGTGAGCCGGAGAGAGGCCAGCTGTTACCTGGCGAGAGGCCGCCGGCTTCGCCCTCGCGCATCTGCAGGGAACGGGAGGCTGCTGCACGGCGCTGGCGAGGCGACTCCGACGGGGGAGGCCGGCAAGGTGAGCTGTTCCCCCCCCGGGGGCGTCTCTCGCCCGGCCCCCAGAGCCCCCCTCCGCTCGGCAATGCAAAGGACCCCCCGCCCCCAGTTCTGGGAGAGGCTGCGGGTGACCTCGCTCTAGCGGGTCAGCCTCAGCCAGCCGAGGGTGGGCTGGGCTGGCTCGGCGCGCAGGGGAGGGGGGAGGGGGCCGGACAGTGTCCAGAGGACACCCCCCCACCACCCGTCGCGATCTTTTCGCGGGTCGTTGTCAGGGGTGGGGGATCCTGGGAAGTGGCCGCTTCCCTCCCGTCGTTGACTTCCAAAGGGGGGCGCGCATCCCTTGGGGATGACTCATCATCGCCGGCCAGTTCTCCGCGGAATGTGGGAATGGCCGCAAAGCCGTCCGCTGATCCGAGGGCTCCGGCTCTCTCTCGGGCTGCGACCTTCGTCCGTCCGTCCCCCCCCCCGGAAGCCTTCCTTGGATGCCGCAGGCCAGCTGTCTGCCGGAGGGAATCCCACCAACCCTCTCTTTGGACACCCCCTTAAAGCAGGTCTAGGTCGTAACATTTTTCTTCTGGAGAGCACAGCTCGTTTGCTCCTGTTACAGATACTTGAAAGTTCGGGCATGCTGGATTCTAGAAAGTTACA